AGGCAGGGTCTGTGACATTTGGTATTCTCTCTGAGAAAGAGAAGAGATTCCATCTAATTGTCTATGTTAAGCCCAACCCCAGCAGTGTGCCCACTGCAGCCAACAAGGGCCATGGTTGTGTGCTGAACAAGACTTGACCTTTACCACCTCCCATTCACCTTCTCATTCAGTGCCACAGCCCTAAGAATAATAGTATTTTTCTCCATTTGAGCAAGTATTGCCTTACAGATTCTTAAACTCACCCATAGTTTTGGGAATGTGGCATCTATTTTAAGTTCTGTAATTTTTTCACACTTGGCACATTATTTAAAAATATATCGATGGATTCATAACACTCCCTTGTTACTTCAGAACCTGTGACTGAATCTGGTCAAAGGTATCCACATGAGGCTTCCCTGGGAGAGTGGTGTAAAATGCTGAGCATGACCACATGCTGACACCTGCTCAACTGTCCTACCAGCTGTCACTAGTGGCAATGTCATTAGGAGGACCATTCCTGAAGCTCTTCCAGAATTGACACATTTTCCATTCACTTTCTTAAAATGTATAGATAGATTCCTATTAGCCATTGATCATCAGGATCTATAGTCCTAGCCTCAAAAATGGAATGCTTTCTTCACAATTAGTGCCTTGTCCTATGGGATATCATGACCATGTGTTCATTATTTCACTCAGTTTAATGGAAGAATGATGATGACAAACCTCTGGGTCAATAACTTTTGACTAGAAAACCAAAGTGAGCAGACAGAAGATCTCAAGATGCTCCATGGGCACAATAGAGAGGGTGGGGATGACCCCGTGATTCTGGAGAGTGAATATTCGGATGTCTGAGAGAAACAGAACCACACAGGGTCAGTGCCTCTGAGCCTTCTCCACACCAGGGGAGTGGTCCTGGGGGCCCAGGGCCAGCATAGCTTGATTTGTGTGGGTTTCTCTTCTGTTAACACCACTGCACCTGCGTTTATGATAATATCATGGTCAAGTGCACTAGGTTGATTATTTTTCTGTAAATGAGTTGCTTGTTGAATGGTGTATTTTGTAAGAATTATAGCACCCATGAAAGCTCTTGGGCATCTCCACATGTTTCTGGCTGACACAGGACTGAATCCAAAGGCACAGACTAGAACCTTCCCAGCCTTCCAGTGTCTGCCAGGCCCACTGTGGTCAGGTGGATGTTGGGTGTCAGACTGCTCGCATGAATAGAACAATGAGGGTCAACAGTGTCCAGCCCTCTTGGTGAGTTGGATGCCTTAACGTGCCAGTGGTCACATGAACTGGGTGAAAAGAGACTGATATTGTAGGAGTCCAGGGAGGGACCTCCTTGACATTGGTTGATGAGCCTAAATGGGTGAGTAGATGACTATGTAGAATCTTTGTTGGTTCATGCTAGTTATTGGCCATCCCTTGTCAGTAATGACCTTTAGATGATCATTTATTTGGAAAGGACTTAATATAAATTCTCACCATTTTTTAATATCTGGCCATACCACTTCCAAAAGGGAATTGTTCCTAATTCACCCACTTTGTTTCCTCCAAGACCTGGTAATCTGTCAAAACAGGTTGTCAACAGCATTGCCTTGCCCATCTCTGTTTGGATCTCAGTCACCAACATCTAGACGACCATTCTCTGACAGGACGCATGGCCCAGTAAACGTGGGGACCACAGACAAAACAACTTTACATTGTATAAGAATTGCTATTTTGTGTTGCAACTGCTGTGCCAGCCACTGTGGATGGGCACAGACACTGGAGTTCCCATGGGAGAAGCATTTCTTAAAGGAGGTGGAACCTCAGGGTAAAATGGAATCTGTGTGGTCACTGCCCATGTAGCCTGGCCCATAGCTGTAGATGGGAGAGGCTGGGCAAGGGCTCAGCCAGGCTGAACTAAGGAGGGGCTGCCCCAGAGCTGCAGGCTCTGGCCCTGAACTACGAAGATTAGAGAAAACGTTCAGCCTTTTTTTTTTTTTTTTAATTGGCTTATTTCACTTAGCATGATATTCTCCAACTCGAACCATTTACTGGCAAATGCCATAATTTTACTCTTCTTTAAAGCTGAGTAATATTCCATTGAGTATACATACTACATTTTATTTTTCCATTTATCTATTAAGGGACACCTAGGTTGGTTCCATAGGCTAGCTGTTTTGAATTGAGCTGCTATAAACATTGATGCAGCTGCATCACTGTAGCATGCTGATTTTAAGTCTTTTGGGTATAAACCAAAAGACTTTTGGGTCAAATGGTGGCTCCATTCCCAGTATTCTGAGGAATCTCCATACTACTTTCCATAGTGGTTGTACCAATTTGCAGTCCCACCAGCAATGTATGAGTGTGCCTTTTTATTTTATTTATATAGAGTGTTCCTATAATTTTCCTGGGGTGGCCTTAAACCTGGACTCTTCCTCCCTTAGTCTCTAAGGTAGATGGGCTTATAGGCATGAGCCACCCTACCCATTGGACATTGAGTTTTGAAGCAGTTAGCTTGGATATTAAAAGTTGGCATCTCTTTCCTAGACTATGGATGCTACTCCACTCAGAGGGACTGAGCATGAGCATCATGGAGTTCATGACCTGCTCCTGTGTGCCTCTGTGTCAACATTAACCTTTCCATTGCTGAGGACACTGGGTGACCTGAGGGGCTCTGGTTACAGGTGGAAGCAGGTTAATACACATGGGCATTTGTTCTGGGCCCCAAGAGGACAGAAGTTTTTGGTCCAGAGCTGGGCATGGGCAGCTTCTCCCTTGTGTTTTCCCCTGGGCATGGGCAGTTTCTCCCTTGTGTTTTCCCCACAGGTCACAGAACAGCTGGCTCAGTGACTGCATGGACACAGGACAAACCCATTCATAGCTGATGGTGGCCACTTTCTGTCTGGAGAAACAGGGGTGCCTCAGCAGGTCACAGCTGACATGATGCAGGGACTCTGCTCACAGTGGACCCTGTCGGCCACACGTTCAGCCCTGAACACATGCTGCTCTCCTTCTTGGTCTCTAAAGATCACCAGGCACCACCTTTGACTCTCCCATGAGAATCCAAGGGGTGGAGTCAGAGGCAGGCCAAGGGCCAGGACATGCAGGAGAACAGGGTTATGACCCACATATGACAGCCATGTGGGGAGTGAGGATTGACAAGTGTGAACTCAGAGTAGGAGGGGACAGAACAGTCCAAACTCCAGGGACCTAGTCCTCCTTCCTAGTCCTTCACTACATCTCTCAAGTGCAGTGAGGCATCTGCTCAGACCCACATAGCTGCTGCTCCTCCCTAGCTGTGTTAGAAGTGTTGGTTTTCACCAATTACCATTAAGTACTCTGAGTCTTTCCTGGGTGCTCATTGCCCTGTAGACAGAGAGTCTACTGGAACAACAGGCAGTGATAGGAGATGAAATGACTCCCCAAATGTTTGAGTGTGACAGGGGGTGGTGAAGTGGTGACAGCTACAACCCCAGGGTCCTTCTGAACTCTGATTTCCAGGGACACCATTGGGGGCTGTCTGCCATCCCTGCTGTGCACTGACACCCTTGTGTGACCATGTGTGGAGAGGCACCCTGTGGTTTTCCTGTCCATCTGGTGGTTTTAAAGTGCCGTGTACTATCTTGCACATTTGAAACACGTTCTGCTACTGTTGTGCTTGTTTAGATAGAAAAATCACCTGTGACTTTTGAATTATCTCACTGCAGGAGCTAATTCAAGGACATGGTGCTGTCCATAGAAGAACCCGTAGAAGGACCTGCACTCTGAAGGACTGTGGTTACATTTGTAAATGACTCCTAGTGAGATGTTAGCCACCCAGGAATTGGGATCCAGCACCGCATCTGAAGTTCAGATGCCACACAATATTTTGCTAGTCAACACGCTCTAGGAGGCAGTGGAGGGTCCATAGAGTCATGTTGCATGGAGGCCAAGCAATTGGGTGAATCTTTGTTTGAAGCAGATGTTTTGTGACCTCTTCCAGTCATGATCTGTGGGGTGTGATTAATGGAAATTGTGAGATGTCATCAATTTAATTATCAAGGTGCAGGATGCAGGGGAGATGAGGGAGTCATCAGTTAACAGCTACTGGACACAACCAGCAAAAGCCTCTTCTGTATCCTTCAATGATTGCTGAAATCATGAACACACCCCCAGGGGGACCTGGCCACTGATTCCCACTCACCAGGAACCTTCTTGACTGCTCACCCCACACAATCCATAAGGAGCAAGCGCTTGTCATGAGGGCCACCCTGTACCCCAGGGCTCTCCATCCTATGTAGTATCACCCTCTCATTCATAGTCCTGTGGGCTCAGGCAAACGATTGACCCTTCCCTTCCCCAATTTCCATTACAACAGTACCATGTCCACTGTATGTGTTTCCTGCTTCCATGGAGCTTTGTCCCTGGTAACTGCAGGAGCTAATTCAAGGACATGGTGCTGTCCATAGAAGGTGTGCAAGTTCAATGCCTGTCATTTCAGTGAAACCCAGGTCTCCAGCACTTTGCTGTCACAGGAAGTGGCCCTTTTCCCTGCCTCAGCATCTGCAGAACCCTTGGACTATATCAGGAGGACAGGGGTGAGGATCACATGGAGAACAGCTCTCATGTCCACAGTTGTGGCTGAGTCTCACTTTAGTCCACTGAATATCTTCCTGGGACCAGGTTGAGCCTGCAGGTATTGTGGAGGGAGGGACAGCTTCTCCTCTCTTTCTACATCAATCACACCCTGGATATTATGAGCACTTCAGCCAATATTTATGGGAAAATCCACTTACATTCTTAAAACTCTGTTGAATTCTGTGACTGAGACCATAATCTCACCATCAGGTGAACTGACATGTCCCCAAATCAATCAGTAGATGCATTGTCAAGTTAGTGCCTCTGGGGCTGAGGAGGATAAAAGAGAATGAGGGTTGAAGGAAGCTCCCTGAGCCCTTTCACCAAACTCCCTAAGGTCCCTCAGACCCTGGTGCCCCTGACCAGTGCCCTCAGCAGGTGGCGGCAACAGGAGTAGCAGCTGGGGCAGCCCAGCCTCACACTTCTGCTCCTTGGTAGGTTTTTGTCATGGCCTGTATCACTGTGTGTGGCAAACTACTACTCTGTTGACAGTAATAAGTGGCAACATCTTCAGGCTCCAGGCTGCTGATGGTGAGAGTGAAATCTGTCCCAGATCCACTGCCACTGAACCTTGAGGGGACTCCAGATTGCAAAGTGTTTGCATATCTGATGAGGAGCTTAGGAGGTTGTCCTGGTTTCTGCTGATACCAGTGTAAACTACTGCTAATGCCCTGACTAGCTCTGCAGGTGATGGTGACTCTGTCTCCACGAGACACAGGCAAGGATGATGGAGACTGGGTCATCATGATATCACATCTGACACCTGCCATTGGAAACATAAAAAGAAATATCCTTGTAAGTAGTGATGTTCCAAGAGGACTTTCCTGAGTATCCAGGGGGCACTGACCACACTGTGATTAGTAAACCCCCAGTACTGTCCCTCCTTACCTGTAATGCAGAGCAGCAGGAGTCCCAGGATATGAGTAGGGGTCCTCATGGCCATGCTGTGTCCTGAAGGGGACTGACTCCTGCACAGGGTGTGAGCAGCCTCTTAAGAAGTCCTCAGGGCAGTGGGCTGTGCTGTGGACACATGCAAATCAGCTGGGCTGGGCAGGCTGAGCAGGCATGAGCCCAGCTGCAGGGCTGGCTTCTCTCAGTCCCTCAACACTGACCAAGTGTCTTCATGTGTTCCAGGTCAGACCAGGGCAGAGCCAATTTGCCTTTTAGAGAGTCTGTTTCTGTCTGGTGACATTTTGTTACTAAGGATATTTTCAGAACAACTGTCATATGTTGAAGAAGACTTAAGGTCTGGATTGAGCAAAGTATTTCATACCTAATATGAGGATTAGTAGAAGTTTCTTGTAGAGAATACGTAGTGAAGTGTTACAGAGGAAAACATCAGGCCATTAATATGCTCTTGCATGTTCCTGGTAGGAGGATACCTTGGATTTCATTTGAAATTATGTGGATGAGAATAATTTTTTTAAATAAAAAAATGCATTGGAAGAACTTGGATTTATTCAAAAGCATTTGGAACAGCTCTAGAGCAGAAATACATTGATATTGGGCAAGGTCCTGTAGGAGCACAAAGATAATACCAAGTTTTCTTGATGAATGTGACCTTGGAGATCCCCCTGGATGTCTTCATACCAGGGACTCAGTTGTCCTGGTTCAGTTTGGGGACCCCCATATCAGCCCCCTTTGCTGCCACTTCATCACATTCCCATGGCCCATCAGTATGGGGGATGACTAGAGGCATGAACCTGATGACTTCCCAATCCTCTGCTTCTTCCTCCAGCTCCAGCAGCTGCCTTAGCACAGCCTGAGCCCTGGAGGAGTCCATATCACAAGAAAGCAGAGAGAGCACATGGCCTGGGCCTGCTGGGAGCTGTGTCTCTGCTGCTGGCTCCTGCAGGGGCTCTAAGCTTCATGTGTCCCCAGCCACTCCAGGGAGTAACACAGAGCAAATCCCTCCACATTCCCTCATCCCAAGGGTCAATATTATGCCCAGAGCTGCCTGTTCCTTTACCCTCTTGTGTCTCATCTCTGAGCTAGTGGCAGGTGCCCTCTAACCCCTGCTCCTGTTCTGGACTGGAAGAGGCTCTCCTGTCCTTACCACACACAGCAGGACAGAGCATGTGCTCAGTGAATCAGACCTCAGGATGACAATGACTGCAGACTCTGGTTTCAGGTGTTCATCTCGGTTTACCATGGTAGGAGTGGGGCCCTGCATTTACATGCAGAGCAGACTCAGGCACTTGACTAACTGGGAGAGGCTGGAACAGGGGCTCCCACAGGACTAGCTCAGGCTGGAAGTGCCTGAGGGCTGGGCTGTGACCCTGGGCTGGGAGGAAGCAGCTCTCCTGGGCAGTGGGGCTGAGGGCCTGGAGAAGCAGAGCCCTGAGCATGAGCTGCCAGGCAGGGGAGCCAGGGGGGAAATCCCTCCACAGTTTTAGGTGCTGAGTGGAGCTCTGAGCCCCCAGCCAAGGTGAGAGTCCAAGACGAGGAGCTCAGTCCTGGGCCTGGCTCTTTAGGGCAGCTGAGCTCAGCACATGCTCCATGGTCCTGAGGACTGACACCAAGAAGAAGGTGAAAAAACTTTCTGTCTCAAAGTCTTGTCAGAGCCAGAGTCCATGATGGTTAGAAAGATAAGGAGCATGTGTCATACACATGTATAAAGTGTCTTTTGGCATGTAAGATATGATTACTAAATCAACATATTATTCACTTATATTTTTTAACCCATGGCATGAGGTAAATGCATATTATGTTAACTGTAGATAATAACAGCTTAACCACTTTTTAAAACTACAATGACACATGCTGTTGTTGTGGATCAGTGGTAGAGGTCTTTCCTAGCATGCGTGAACACTGGGTTTGATTCTCAGCATCATATAAAAATAAAATAAAGATATTGTGTCCACCTGCAACTAAAAATGTCAATGAAAAAATATGGTAATAAGCCAACTGCAGTGATGTACACCTGTCACCTAGCAACATGTAAGCCTGAGGAGGAGGATCAGAAGTTCAAGATCAGCCTCTACAATTTAGCAAAGCCCTGTCTCAAAATAAAAAATAAAAAGGGCAGCAGATGTTGCTCTGTAGTTATCCATAAGGTTCAATCCTCAGTACAAAAAAATTTAAAAATACAGATAATATAGTATATTAAAAGGTTAAATTTTAGCATTTTAAGATACACTAAAAGGAGATAAACACAAATAGTGCCCTAACAGGACATAGTTCATTATATAGAAAAAGGACTGCACCAATAGTTCACAAAGAGCACCTCAAATCAATAATAAAAATAAACAAATCAAAGAGAATGGGTCATGATCAAGAATGCACAAATCACAGAAGAAAAATTAAAATATACAATAAATATATGAAAAGCCACTATAAATTATAAAAATAACAAATAAGATAAAATATTATTTTGACATGAATTTGAGGGCAGATTTTTAAGAAGAATCTGGCATGGACCAGTGTTGGGGAGAGTGACCCTCTACTGGTGGTGACAGTTGTTCCTGGTGGAATGACCTTTGTCTTGCATGGTCTGTTGATGGGATACAAATGGGAGTTTTTCTGGATCCACGGGTTATTAGCACACAAACTCACCCTTCGGAGGTATCCAGGGCTGAGACCTGTACACTCAACACTGACCACTGTGGCATGTTTGAGTGGTTGAATACCTGGGAACAATCCAAATGTCCCTCAAGGAGACAGACACTGACCTGGGGATGCTGCTCCGAGGTGGAGGCCCTGCCCTGCAGACACAGGCCCTGGGTTCAGTCCACACAGAGGGTGAAGAGAGTGGGGTCCCCATCTCTTTCACAGTTGTCTTTCCTGGAATTCTAGCCTCCTGGTGAGGATCTGTGTTCCTGCCCATCTTCCAGGACCTGGAACAACTCTGCAGGGCTATGGGCCTGGAGTGCTGGAGTGAAGGCCTGTTCATGAGAGTACAGGCTCAGAGCCACTGTTCCCATGTCTGGAGCAGCTGATCCTCCTCAGATGGGCTCCCTCTCTAGCAGTGTTGCCTCCTGTGGGTGCTCCTGGTGTACTCAGGCCACCTGAGCCCCTGTGGATTGAGCAGTGACCACACATTGCTTAGCACCCTGGGGGCAGCCTGAGGGCAGCACTGACACTGCTGCTTCTCCTTCCCCCCTTCCCCTTCTCAATGTGATGTCCCCAGTGTCTGTTCCACACTACAGTGGAGCTTGCAGTGGGTTTTTTCCCCTCATGGTAATTTATGAGGACAACTCACCCACTGAACACGTGGCTGCACCGTCTTCAGAGCTGTGGCCATGTCCTCTCACTCATCCAGGCCCACTGCTGACCTTTAGTTCTGACCCCACTCCATGAGTCCTCAGAGAAGGACATTTTTCTCAGGCTGTGATGATCATAGGTTATAAAGCAAAATAGAAAATATTCAGGAACTTGACTGTGAGGAGACTTGGCCCACTGTCCACAGAGCCCCAGTGGCCATGAGCCTGGGCACTGGGCACAGTTCCCAAGCCTGAGGGCTCCTCATAGAAAGGGATCTCTGCTGCTTTCCCAGGGCCTCTGAGGTTAGACTCCTAGACTGGGTTCTTTATGGGGTTTCTTCGCCATCTAGTGGCAGAGTTGACACATAGCAACTTGGGATATTTTTGGGTGTGGATTCCCAGATTCATGAAAATGATCCTCCTCCATCCATCACTAGGGTAGATTCTGTAGGAAACTCAAATGATCCCTCTTCTCAGTTAGTTGTTCAACTAGTTAAGTATAGAAGACCAACACTGCATCAGGGATTCAGAAAACATACTAGTCTTGAGGGAGCTGGCTTCTTGGTGAGTAACTCAGGATATGCAAAAGCTGGGGTTTTGCCAGAGAAGAGAAGGGGCCTGAAAGACTCTGAGGGAGGTGGTTTTAAAGGTTCAGGAGGCTGAGGGCTCCTAGTCTAGAGAGGCCAATCCAGCCTCATGCTTCCCATGCAAAACCCTTCCAGAGATGCTGAGGGTCTCCCAGGGCTCCCAGGAAGAGCTTCCATGCTCAGCAGATGGACCAGGGAAGCTGAGGAAGCTGAGTAGCAGTGCAGAGTGTCCCAGAGGTGCCCAAGCTCCATCCTCCACTGTCACACTTGGCTCTTCCTCCCAGCCTCTTCAGGGTGCTGAGGAAGGGAAGGGACCTGCCCCTGCAGCCCCAGGATGCCCAGCTTCCCACACTGCATCTTTCCATAAAGGAGTCCCAGATCACCACATGCATACAGGACATCTGGCACCCTCACAGGGAGCAGGTGGGGTGGCTTTTTATCTAAACCATGAACTTGGGCAGGAGCAGGAGGTGGAATACATTAGTTTGGTGGGTCAGGAGCTCAGTTCCTGGCTAAGATCTTGGGTCTGCACAGCAGGTGCTCAGCACAGGAGATCACAAGTGCTGTGCCCATGAACAATAGAAAAACTGGCTTGGGAACATCTCAGGAAATGGCAAGGTCACACCCATGTCAGGCTCAAGGGTGTAAAAGTTGAATTTCTTTGAGAAGAGATCATGGGACACCTTGCTTGCTTGGGGTGTCCTAGAAAGTAGTTTCCTGTGCTCAACCACCCAGGCTCTCAGAGAATGGAATATCTGAGGTTCCAGAAGGCTTGGTGACGGCTCAAGATGGTGGTAATCATGGGCCTCACCCATGTGGAATTTGTTCTGCAGGAATGCAGGATGCAGGACTCGGGGGTCATCAGGTTCCACTGAAATTTCAAAGGAGGCCCTGAAGACCAGGCGGGATGCATCACGGTTGAATCCCTGCAACAGCCCCTGAGAAGACAGGTGTGGAGATGTGAGAATGGAGGTGGCATTGCAGTGGAGACCCTGGGACTGAGAGATGCCAACAGCAGGGACATCTGCTGAGGTAAACTCTGAATCCAGCAGAAACAAGTGGAAAGGGAGGCCATGTGGGCTGCAGCCAGCAAGTCCACAGGGGCAGAGCCCTGTGTCAACCCTTTGGACAGAACTTCACTGTGCCACATGCCCAGGTGCTGGATAGGGGCTGCAGGGTGGGTTTGCCCAACTGGATTTTACAGTCCAGCTTTGGCACCATCCCTTCTTG